TATGATGTTAATTTTTCTGATAACGGTTGTGTTATTAGCTATAATAAACATCTTGTCTCTGCTGGTACATTGATTAATGGTGTTTTTATTATTAATGTCTCTCCAGAACTATAACAAACCATAGAACTGAATAATGTTAACCTTTCAAGTAAAAGAAAGCGTTCTTTTGATTTTAATGAGACTTATCTATGGCACTTACGTCTATGTCATATAAATCTAGATAGAATTTCAAGGTTGGTTCGAGATGGACCTTTAGGTTCATTAAAAGTGGAGGCACTACCAACATGTGAATCTTGTTTAGAAGGAAAAATGACTAAGAGACCTTTTTCCTCAAAAGGAAATAGAGTCAATGATAAACTAAAGTTAATTCATTCTGATTTGCGTGGCCCAATGAACATTCAAGCGAGAGGTGGATATGAGTACTTCGTGACTTTCATTGATGACTACTCAAAATATGGATATATTTATTTGTTGCGCCGTAAGTCTAAATGCTTTGAGAAATTCAAAGAGTTTAAGGCTGAAACGGAGAAACGACATGGAATATATATCAAGTCATTACGATCTGATCGTGGTGGAGAATACCTCTCTAATGAGTTCATTAGTTACTTATCAGAACAAGGAATTACATCTCAAATGTCTGCACCTAGAACGCCACAACAGAATGGTGTAGCAGAAAGAAGAAACAAAACTCTTTTAGAAATGGTTAGATCAATGATGAGTTACTCTGATTTGCCTTATTCGTTTTGGGGATATGCATTAGAAACTGCAAATTGTATTATGAACTTAGTTCCTTCTAAATATGTTCCTTTGACACCCATTGAACTGTGGACTGGGCACAAACCTAGTTTGAAACATGTTCGAGTTTGGGGATGTCCAACAATGTGTGCTGAAAGGGAAGGGAGAAAAATTAAAACCTAAAACATAAGTATATGTTTTTATTGGATACCTTAAAGGAACGAAAGGTGGTATGTTTTATAATCCTAAAGAAAAGAAGGTCATTGTGACTACCAATGCCAAGTTTCTGGAAAAGGATTTTTAGCAAACCATATTCCTAGAAGTAAACTAGTTTTACAGGAATTATGCAAAGAGATAACAAATCAGTTTACTGAAAATAATGGAAACCAAATTCAAACCCCATATGTTGGAGTTAACATACCATTGCATTGTAATAGTGGGAGAGATGTTAATAAACATATAGTTCCACAAGTACAAGTTCCTGAAAATTCATTGCATCAAAGTAGTGGGAGTAATAATGAGCAAATTGTATTAGAGGAAGAAGTTGTTGATATCTCTTCACCGCAAGGTTCTGAAGATAACATGGACACTCATGATCCTACAAATGATGTGATTCCACCACAAGATCATAATAATGCAAATCTCTCTTAACCTAATCCTGCAACTGTAGTGTCTCGTCGTAGTGGGAGAGTGATAAGAAAACCACTTCGGTATGCACTCTTGGGAGAGTCTTTTGACAGAATCCCTGAAGAGTCGAATACCGAACCTGTGAATTACGACGAAACACTACAAGATGAAGATGCAGAAAAATGGATCGTTGCTATGAAATCAGAAATGGAGTCCATGTACTCCAATAAAGTATGAGATCTTTTAGAACCACCTGTAGATGGAGTTAAACCCATTGGATGCAAGTGGATCTATAAGAAAAAGAGAGGAGTAGATAGAAAAGTACAAACTTACAAAGCTAGACTTCTTTCAAAAGGGTTTACTAAAAAAGAAGGGATCGATTATGAGGAAACTTTTTCGCCAGTAGTCATGCTTAAGTTTATTAGAATTCTCTTATCCATTGCTGCTCATTATGGTTATGAAATTTGGAAAATGGATGTCAAGACAACTTTCCTTAATGGAAGTCTTGATGAAAGCATATTTATGCGACAACCAGACGGTTTCATAGAAAAAGGAAAAGAACACATGTTGTGCAAGCTTAAAAGATCCATTTATGGATTAAATCAAGCTTCTAGGGCATGGAACACTTGCTTTGACAATGCAGTCAAGACTTTTGATTTTGAGCAATGTCTTGATGAGTCTTGTGTGTACAAAAAGTGGAATGGGGATAAAGTGGTGTTTTTGGTATTATATGTAGATGATATCTTGCTCATAGGAAATAATGTGGGCTTGATGAATTCAATTAAGGAATGGTTGTCCACTAATTTTGATATGAAAGATTTGGAAGAAGCTGCTCAAATCCTTGGGATTAAAGTTTTACGTGATCGCAAGAAAAGGATGTTAGGTTTATCTTAAGTTAAATATTGATACAATTCTTACCAGGTTTAGCATGCATGATTCCAAGAAAGGGTTTCTTCCTTTCAGACATGGAATTTCTCTATCTAAGGATCAATGTCCTAAGATAGATGAGGAAACCAAAAGCATGAAGACAGTTCCTTATGCATCAGCTGTAGGAAGTCTCATGTATGCAATGTTGTGCACTAGACTTGATATCTGTTTTGCCGTAGGCATGGTTAGCAGATATCAGTCTAATCTTGGACGAGAACACTCACTATAAGAAAAACAGTCTCTAAGGACGGGAAATATGGTCCCTGAAAGTCGAAATCTGGTCCCAAATGAGCATTTGAGACCTGAAACATCTGGTCACCACCCGTCCTAAATGCTTCCTTCGCTATCGCCCAATAACAACGGGACAAAGAATCCAATCGTTAAAGCTTTTTGGGACGGGGATCCAATCTGGTCGCGACAATATCTTTAGGGACGTTATTTCTAGTCTCAAATAGATCAAATATATTTTGGGAAATATGTTTTTCAGGTCGGTAAAACTCTATAGGGACCACCAAAAACTAGTCGTAATAATCTTTAGAGACGATATAGATCTGGTCCTAGTAATCTCTAAAGACCTGGCCTTAGAATTGCTTTAAAGACGAGAACTATCTCGTCCTAGAATAGCTTTGGCGACTATCAACAACCCCATCCTAGAATAGCATTAGAGATGAGCAATAAGCCTGGTCATTATTGGCCTTTAGAGACCAACATAATTTTTGTCCTAGATGGAGCACTAATACATTTCAACAAATATCGAATTGCTACTAAAAATTTCGCTACGAAAAGATGATATATATAGAGAAGAGACAGAAACAATAAGATATATATAAAGAAAACAATTAATTACGATAATCTAGTTGACATCCATGATATATGTTTCAATGTTTGCTTAACAAAAAACATAGCTAATTAACGTCCGAGTTAGACTATGGCATCAAGTTTTGCATTAAATTTGTAGCAATCTAAAAGTGAGCTCATTCATCTTCTTCTAAACTTGTATCTTGCATAGAGGAATGAACAAAAGCTAGGCAAAAAATTAAAAGTTCCAATCTTCATCGAGAGTTATCCAGAAACATCAACAAAAGCTGCAAGAAAATAAGAAAAAAAACCCATTAGAAAAACTTTGAAATGCATTGACCGAGAATCTAATATCTATTTTAAAGATTTACAACTAAATATATATATATAACATCTGTTAGATAATGTAAACAAATAGACTCAATAGCTTTAGAGACGAGCAGGAATGAAAAATAAGTCGGAAAAAACAACTGCAATGAACAAAAAACAGGGCAGAAATCTCATGTGAAATAAACATAATCTCGAAACTTATAACAGGGCTAATGCAGACAGTAATTTTGCATTGTCCAGAAACAGGTCTTGTATATTTCCATCCCCATCCCAACCCTCCCAAGTCCCCCAAAACAGTGCAGACAATAATGCAGACAGAGATGTTGATTTTACTTTTTTTTCCAGACGATCAAACCTTGTATGTTTAATTTGGAATACAAAGTTTGATTGAACCACCTGTGTATAAACCACAAGAGAACTTATGGGATAGAATAGTAATCCGGGGGAGTTAACTATCCCGTTGGACATACAATTAGAAGAACTAATAAAACATTCAACTAGAAATTAATAAGGCATCACTGCAGGAACATGAACTGGGAAGTCTTGAATCTCATAAGTTCATGAATTTTTCTCCAGATCCTTAGGATTAATAGTTTTTAGGGCATGCCAAACATCACCGTTACATTTGAAACCTAAGCCAAAACCTATTTGACATGCTCTATCACCTTTTTTAATCCTAAATTTGGCCTTAGAGTAGGCCAATTCATACCATAGTGAGCTACTTGATGTGTTTCATACCACATACATCTCTGCTAACCACCCTCACCTTTGTTCATTCATTTGCAGCTTGATATTAAAGTACTAAAAATCAAAATGAGGATGACCCTACTAATACAATAGTCAATACATTTCTTTATATCAGCATTCAATGTTTCTCTCGAACTGTACTCATATTAAACAACGTTAATTGCAGATTTTTCGTTGGTAACTTGGATGCCAGTCAATTCAGTGATAAGGAAACTAACATGCTGGCAATTTTATGGCAGAAGTTATCCAAACCAGTGGAGTGGTGGTTATTATGGGTATACATCAGGATATGACGCCTATGGTTATGCCCAACCTACTCAGGACCCAAATATGTCCTATGCAGGCTATGCCGGGTATGAGAATTATGTGCAACCTCCACATCAACAACAAGTAAATTGAGTCCTACTAATAATTGTCTTAATCTGATGGTAAATATCTACAGAACCTATATGATGGTAAATATCTACAGCCACTGCCGCAGAGACCAATGAAGAAGAAGCTAGTCTTGAAAAAGAGCATTTAACCAAGAGCTAGCAGAGGATGAGGACATAGTAGAGGGACTATTGAGACAGAACTATCATGTCAGGAATTAAAAGCCTTCTTATAATAAAATAAAGTCGGGTATATTCTTACTTACTTGGTCAGCAAAAAAACAGTTGTCATTCCGTTGAAACAGGCGATATTGTAGGTGGTACATTTGATTATTGAGCATCAATGAATTCTTTCATCTTCATTATTGCTTTCATCTCATCTTCTAAGGTAGACAAGCGATCATTCAAGGATTTGTTTTCCTCATTCAAAGATTTGTTTTCTTCATTCAAGAATTTGTTATCATCTCAAGTTGAACGTAGCGCAGACAATAGTTCAGCCTTTGAAGAAGTTCCACCTTTCAAATCTTTTGCCTTTACTCCACCCCCAAATCCAAATACATGGCTACGAGTTTGTGGTCCACAACATTTTTCAACAATCTCTATACTAGATAGAGATGGATCTTCTTGAACTATTTCCTCAAGTTGAGCCTACAACATATATAAAAGGACATTTTCTATCAAAACACATAACAATTCCAAGCCGTTAAATTATTCAATTTACCAAACGTACATGTTTTTCAATTGCTTCAGGTTCAACAAGCTTGTTATCTTTCTTACGAGTCTCAAAGAAAATAGTCGCCAAATCTGGTGGATTGCCATCTTTCCCACCCTTAACATCAAAGTCAAACACGTCAAATAACACAAACCTCGTAAATACTTCATCAAGGAAAATAGTTTTTTAACAATACCTTTTGATAAATAATCTCTCGAATAGGTTTGCTACCAATATGATGAAGCATCTTCAACTTAGATCGGTTTGTTGCATTCCTGATGCTTCTTGCCTATATTTGTGAAACAATAATCTTAATTAGAATAATTATAACAAAATTAT